ACAGCGGGGGCACGCACACACACACACACACACACACACACACACACACACACACACACACACAGAGCCTGGAGGCAGTTCTGGGGCCAGAGGAGACCAAGGACCCCTCCAAATCTAAGCATGACTGTTGGGAGAAGGGAAGTCAAAGGACAGCCATGTTGAGTGGCCCATGTCTGCAGCTTCCTGTACTCTGGAGTCAAGGGCACACACACACACACACACACACACACACACACACACACACACACACACAGAGCCTGGAGGCAGTTCTGGGGCCAGAGGAGACCAAGGACCCCTCCAAATCTAAGCATGACTACTGGGGGAAGGGAAGTCAAAGGACAGCCATGTTGAGTGGCCCATGTCCGCAGCTTCCTGTACTCTGGAGTCAGTTCCTTTGACCTGATCCAGGCCAAACACAGGGCATCAGGGAACAATGGGGCACAAGCCAAGGATGTATCTGGCCAAAACTCTTCTAAAGAAGGATGGAGGTAAACCACGAGAGGCCGCAGGCAGAATGGGCAGAAAGAAGGGCATGCCTTGGGAAAGTGACAGAAAAGGGGGGTTCACAGCGGCATGGCACCTTGTCTTTTAGAACAACCTGTTGGCTGTCTGTGACCAACAGATGCTAATGAGCGTTACAAGACTTTTGCTAACGAGGATGACGCTGAAAGTTGTTCTCGTGATTATCCTCACTAAGATAAACACAGGGCATCAGGGAACAATGGGGCACAAGCCAAGGATGTATCTGGCCGAAACTCTTCTAAAGAAGGATGGAGGTAAACCACGAGAGGCTGCAGGCAGACTGGTAGAAAGAAGGGCATGCCTTGGGAAAGTGACAGAAAAGGGGGGTTCACAGCGGCATGGCACCTTGTCTTTTAGAACAACCTGTTGGCCGTCTGTGACCAACAGATGCTAATGAGCGTTACAAGACTTTTGCCAACGAGGATGACGCTGAAAGTTGTTCTTGTGATTATCCTCACTAAGACCAACCTTCAGCATGGGCAAATGGATTTAGAAAAAACCCTAAAACTCCTGAGGCATTTCTGAGTCATGGAGAAATCAAGACCTGAGGCATTTCTGAGTCATGGAGAAATCAAGACCTGAGGCTGTAGCTTGGTGACAGAGCACTTCCTTAGCATGTGCAAGGCCTTGTGTTCCATCCTTAACACTGCAGGGAAAAGGGGGGTTCACAGCGGCATGGCACCTTGTCTTTTAGAACAACCTGTTGGCCGTCTGTGACCAACAGATGCTAATGAGCGTTACAAGACTTTTGCCAACGAGGATGACGCTGAAAGTTGTTCTTGTGATTATCCTCACTAAGACCAACCTTCAGCATGGGCAAATGGATTTAGAAAAAACCCTAAAACTCCTGAGGCATTTCTGAGTCATGGAGAAATCAAGAACTGAGGCTGTAGCTTGGTGATAGAGCACTTGCTTAGCATGTGCAAGGCCTTGTGTTCCATCCTTAACACTGCAGGGAGGGAAGCAGTCAAATATGCATCACCTTCAAGCTTTAGAAATAGACTGAAATAGAAAAGGGAGGAAAACCGGAGTGAGATAGTTCTTTTTAACTGGGGACCCAGCAAGTTACACAGTGGCTTTAATTGATGATTCATTGTAATCCTCGGAACCAGAGGCAACAGCACGCAACTAAAGAAGTATCTCTTTAAAAATTAAATAAAGCCAGGAGCTCTCCAGGAGGGCCAGTGTTACCCTCCTGGCTAATCAAGTTCTCCCATTTTATTGCAGACCCAGTGGCCGCTGTGTTATCTCTCTTCATTTTAATTCTCCTGTCTGGCGTACTTTACGGCCTGCAGCCTCTGGAACTCCACAGGGCAGGGACCTCATTAAGGCTGCTGCCAATCAGCGGAGAGGTATGTGATTTTCCATAGCACCCCACGCAGTGAACTTTGGGCACTGCCTCACTTTCCCTCAGCTTCCCACAGAGCCAAGCTGGCTTCTGTAAGTTGCAGGACTTGAATGCATTTAAATGGACCCCAAGAAGTTAATATATTATCACCCAGCTAGCACAGTTTCATTTCATGGTACCCTGATGTAGTGCTCAATGATTTTTTTTTTTTGGCAATAAAAGGAGTGACTTTAAAACTTAATTAGGAAAATTTAGAGACTATCTAGGGTTCTCAGTGAATTTCTGAAAACTAGGGAACGGTGCACCGATAGTCACGAAGTTTAACTCATGGCAATTCCAGAAGGGTTTCTTGAGCTCTTGCAAATCACTCTCAAGGGTGCTGTGTCTTACAGTCTCACAGAAGGTGCTTTGCTGGAGAGAAATAAAGCAAGCAAGACCTCTAGGAGAAGTAAATGTGACCATAGGGCCCATGTCTGCGTTCTCTACAGAGCCCTGTCAGAATGCTTGATGCTTCATTCCCCAGTGCTGTTCGCCTCCCTGATACACCTTCAGTCTCTTTCATATTCTTTCAAACTAATGTGATCCCATTTAAAAGAAGAAGGAAAAAAAAAAGCCAAGCGAAACCATTTGAGTCCTAATAGAATCTTCCAAAACCGCATTTTCTCAGGCTGTCCTCCACAGTGGGGTCACCTCCACTCCATTTCCCTTCCCTTCCTTCTCTCTGTGCAAACCAGTTCTTGGCCCATGGTTTTAGCCATTTCCATTAAAATGCATACACTTACTGGCAGAGGACTGTCACGGAAATAAATGTTGGGTTTGGATCCCGTTTCTCCTGGAGAAGTCACCAAGCAGAAACAGGAGGCGATTAGAAGAGGCAGCCAGAGCTCAGTGCACTCAGCCTGCCCTGCGAGGTCCTTCGTGGAGACTGCATTTTAAAGCCAGAGACGATGTTTCAAAGATCAGAATCCTGCATTCTCCCCCACCAAGGGTCAGGGGAGAGTCGCCAGGGCCACGGAAGACTGGCTCTGAGCCAACGGTTCTACTCACCCAGGACAGTGCAGTCTGGAACCTGGGCAGCCGGGCTGATCCTGCAGGTGCCCAGACTGGCAGTCATCTGTTCTACATCCAGGAAGCCTCTGGGGTGTCCCAGGCCTGGGAGGAGGCTGAGGCAGGGGCAATGCATAATTAATGAATGAGTGCCAGGGCGTTCATCGCTCATTAGCATCCCACTCAAATGACATAAATGAGGCGTCCATTTCTCTTCCCAGAATCAAAGGACAAGTGCTCCCCTTAGGGGATAGCCAGAGAGAACTGGGAAGAGGGACCTCAGGAGGACCCCATGGGGTGGCCTTGGCCGTACCAGAGCTTAGTACTGAGAAGGCAATGTCTCCAGAACCTGGCACTCCAGGCAAGATAAGCCCACGACCACAGGCCTCTAGCCACCAAACACAAACCACACAGTAGTAGTGATATAGGCAGCAGGGCCTTGGTACTTCCTCACAGCACCTGGACCTGAGGCATCTGGGAGCAAGTCCCTGTTGGGGATGACGGCAAACCCCAAACCATCTTCTGAGGGGCATCCCAATCTGGCATCTGCAGTATTTTTGTAACTGCAGAAATAACCTCCTCATTTTAGAGACCTGTACATATCAGGCCTTAGTCATACATTCATCCATTAAGTGCTTTGCCTGAGCCTCTTCAGGTGCTGTACAAATGTACTGCCTCTAGGGGGAGAGAGACAGCACCCTGCCCTACCCAGAACCCACAGTCCCACCCAGTAAGCTCTGTTGGGTCTTGCCTGGTCCTAGAGCACCAGCTGCCTAATGAGTATCTTCTGAGTGCAAGAACTATTTCTAACCTTTGTGGTTTTAGGGGAGAGGGGTCTTTTTGAGACAGGGTCTCCCTGTATCCCTTTGTGTTTTTAACTCTAATAAATTGTTAGTATCTTGAAAAATTTCAAATTCTGCCTCATGCAGCCTAGGGGAGGGGAAATTAATCAGGCCCAGCTCTGTTGCAGAGAACCGACTCTCCATTGCCCCAACAGTTTAAGTCACTTTTGGCGTAGTAAACATGTATCATGGTTTTTGCTCCAAAATAAACTAATAACCAAAGACTTAACACTAAGTATTAACACAATACCAGTCTAAAGAGGATATTTTTTAAATATGCAGGAGAAAAC